TTGAATGTAACTTTGTACTGCATCGGCTTGTTGCCATGCTTGCGATGCGTGAGAATGCGGTCGACCTCCTGATGACCATCCATTGAAGGAGGGTCTTGTGACCGTCTGCTCGGGAAGTCCGCTGCGGAGGCTGGAGTGTAGACCACCAGCTTTGAAGTGTGAAATATCGGGTGGACCGTCAAATGCGGGGGAATCTCAATGATGAAAGATGGACCCACAGGGTCGTCGCCAGCTGCTGAAGTGACCATCCATGTTCCAAACCACTTAGGGAGGAGCTTGCGCGAGACGTCCTGCTCGAGCGCGAATTCCTCGGAGGCGACTCAAACTAGGTCGCCGGTGCGAATTGGACATGGGATGCGAAGCCGGTTCGCTTGCTGCTGCATACGGACCTAAGCCTTTTGCATGTTTGCGCGGGCTTTGGCCAGCAGTTCCCTGTACTTCCGTGTGGAAGCGGGGGACCAAGCGACGTCTATATCGGCAGCCCGCGGAAGCAAAATGTCTGCGAAGATACGTCCTTTCCGTCCACCATGGTGCAACTCGAATGGAGTCATGCCAATCGCCCGGTGCACCGAAGTGTTATAGGCGAACTCGATGTCGGGAAGGCGATCAACCCAGTCCTTATCCGGGCGGATGAGCGTGCGGAGCATCATCTGCGCAGTCTGATGCGCACGTACCGTTTGCCCATCCGTTTGAGGATGCCGTGCGGAACTCGGTTTCATGTTGGTGCCAGATTCCACCATGACTGTCGTGCAAAAGGCTGACATGAAATGAGTGTCGCGGTCGCTGACGATGTTTTCCGGAACGTCGTGGCTGCAAAACCAGCCGGTATGCAAAAGTCGTGCGAGCTCAGGAGCCGTCGCATGATACTTGCATGGAAGAAATGGAGCGTACTTGCTCAAGCGGTCAACGACCGTGAGAATACCATCATGACCAAGGCGATCACGCGGGAAAGGACTGGTCACGTCCATAGCAATGGAGAGACCCAGTGCCCGAGGAATCGGCAATGGTTTCAGTTCGCCATAAGGGAGCTGATGGCGCCCTTTGTTGCGGTGGCAAACTGTGCATGACTGGATATACTGGTTGACGTCGCTGATGATGTCCTGCCAGTGAAATCGCTGGCGGAGTCTTGCCAGTGTGCGTGCGACGCCAAGGTGTCCTGCCAGCCGCGAATCATGGTATTTGCCCAGGAGGTGAGTGCGCAAGATGCGGTCTTGGGGAACACACAACAAGTCCTTGCCTCCTGTGTGAAGAAGCAAGTAATCGTCGACAATGCGGTAGTTGCTTGCCCGCGGTTGATCCGATGATAAGTCCGCATAGAGTGTGGAGAATCCCGGATCCGATTTGTAGCCGTTTACGAAGTGCTGTTGCAGGTTCTCATCGAGGCCGAATGTGGAGTGCACCAAGGCGCAAAGATCAGGTCTTCGCGAGAGAGCATCCACTCCCTTGTTCGAGGAACTCGGAATGTGCTTGGAGGTGAAGTCGAACTGGTCAATGAAGTACATCCATCGACCGATCGTGCTGCTCACCGTGTCTTGCGTCTTGTAGTATGTCAATGGATTGTTGTCCGTTGCCCACTTGAGTTGTCGACGCCCGAGGAGAAAGTGATGCTAACGCTCAAGTACGGTGACAAAAGCTAGGAGTTCCTTCTTCCTCGCATCATCAAGTGTGTTGATGGGGGGCACCTTTTGGCTGAAGTACTCAACCGGATGCCAGTTTATGCCGTCATGCTGTTCCAAAACCGCGCCAATTCCATAATCGGAAGCGTCCGTAGTCACTTTGGTGGGCAAAGTCGGGTCATAGATGCTTAAGACGGGAGCTTGAAGCAAAGCCGTCTTCAGCGTGTGAAACGCATGTCGGGCCTTGTTGCCGAACTCGAAGGGCACCAAGGGGGACTGAAGTCGCGACAATGGTGCAGCGATATGTTGAAATCGTTTGACGAAGCGCATGTAGTATGATGCCAAGCCGAGAAAGGAGCGGACGTCAGTAGTACACTTGAGGTCCGACCAAGCTTGTACCTTGTCCGCAAGCGGACGAATGCCTTGCGGCGTGATGTAATGACCCAAGTACTCCAGCTCTTGCTGGGGAAACTCGCACTTGTCGCGGTTCGCCTTGTACTTGGCAATGCGAAGTCGCTCCAAAACGGCGCGAAGGTGCTCGAGATGCTCGTCCAGCGTTCGGCTATAAACCAAGATGTCATCGAGGTAGATGAGCACGGTGCGGTCGAGCAAGTCGCGGAATTCCGTCGTCATGGCCGCTTGGAAAGTAGTCGGGGCATTGGTGAGACCGAAAGGCATGACGATCCACTCAAAGTGCCCATATCGCGTCTTGAACGCAGTTTTGTACCGGTCTCTTGGCTGGATCTCAATCTGATGATATCCGGACTTGAGGTCAAGCTTTGAGAAGCACTTGGCGCCGCCTAGTCGCTTGAGAAGATCATCGATCCGAGGGAGAGGGCCGACGTTCTTGATCGTTTGCGCGTTAAGTTTTTGATAGTCGATGCACAAACGAAGGTCCTTGTTCTTCTTCCGGACGAAGAGAATGGGAGCACCGTATGGCAAACAGCTAGGGCGAATCCAGCTTTTGGCCAAGAGGTCGTCTAGTTGTGCCGGAAGCACTTGAAGTTCCTCTTCGCTCATGCGCTAGATACATCCGCACGGAGGTACGTCGCCGTCCTCGAGAGTGATCCCGTGGCGTACGGGCCGATCCGGTAGACTCAGGCGGGAGCTTGAAAGACATCCTCATAGTTGTCCAACAACTCCATGATGCGTGGGTCCGACGTATCCGTCTTGGGCTGATCACCGGGTGGGAGGGCGTGAAGAAAACATATGCCATCTCCTCGATGTCGTTCCGCCGGATGGATTGGCGAATGCTCGCCGCGGATACCACGTGACAACCAATCGAAGGATGAGGAAACGGCACCGTACACGGGACTAGTTTGCCGCGCCGATCACGAACGTGAACGGTGCGTCGATGGAAATTCACCGGATGGTCTTTGCTTCGCAGCCACGACATGCCTAGGATCATATCGAACTTGGTGTCCAATATGTCGAAAGACACGGTCTCGCATGCTAGTGGGGCAAAGTACACGGGCACCGAGTTAACGCATCGGTCGATTGACTTTTGCGTGTGACCATCGCCCAACGTGACGTGTGTAGGCTGACTTTTCCTCCGAACGCGCGGGCCCAGCCCAGCGCGTGCCATGAAGTCTTGGCTGATGTAGTTGCGAGTCGCTCCACAATCGATCAAGGCATTGCAGGTCGCCTTTTCGATCTGAATGCGGATGTAGAGGAGCGGCGCGTCGTTGTCGACGTACCGTTGCGTTGCGTACTCACGGTCGATCTTCGCAAGATAGTTACGAAGGTCAACAACCGCTACTCCGTCGTCCGTTGACGGAGGTGGTACTGCAGTGTGCAAGTATTCGCGTGGATATGCCATTAAGGCATTGCAATGCGGAGTTGGCAAAGAACCAGTGGAGGCAAGAGGTAACCATTGGAAGTCCTCAACCGTCAATGGGTCGAGATCCTCAAGTCTCATCCAAGTTGACGGGTCCTCCGATAGAAGGGTTGGCGAAGCAACCGGTTCGTTGTCCGACGGCGGAACTGCCGCGCATATGCTTGAATCTTGCACGTGGAGAGGCTGGTTCAACGGTGGGACCAACTCGACAGCATAGTTCTCAAACTCAACGCGAGAACTTGCGACTACCGCGGTGTCCCCGGATGTGAGAGAGGCTGCTAGCAAGGCAGCCGACTCCCGCGGACTGGGAAATGTTGTCGGTGCACTTCCCGCGGTGCTCAGTTTCCCGAGCCCGGACGCTTGACATTTTCCTTGTCCTTGTCGAGGCAGGCACTGGTGATGTGTTTGGTGCTGTTGCACCACAAACAGCATGACCATTTTTGTCGCAACTTGAACATTTCTTCGGTAATGCCGAATATCGTCCATGGTGCTCGTCGTGCTCCATCCGCCGACGCTTCTTTCGCCTTCTTTCCCCGTCGGGGTCTCGTGCGTCGCGGTGGTATCGCTGCCGCCACATCTCCATCACTTGATGTTGAAGCGGTTGCGTGGTCCTCACTTGGTCCTTGTTGGACTGCTGCTATTTGCGGCGTCCGTTGTCCCTTTCCTTTCTCCACGTAACCGGGCTGTTGGCGGACCTCGTTAGTCGCACGTCGGTTACCTTGTATAAGTTCTCTAGCTTTGGCGATCATGTCGTCAAAGTTCTTGTACTCGAATTCGCTGTCGAGAGAAGCTGTCAAGGCGTCGCAAGATCGGGCGAAGAACTCGCCTCGGATTGAGTCGAACGGCAGGTTCAACTCCGGGGTGGCGACGAGTCTTTGCCACTCCGTCAGCCATTCCCGCGAAGGTTGCTGGCCTTGGAAGATGTGGAAGATCTTATTCAAGGCGTGGCGCTTGTCGTTGTTCAGGGTGGTGATGGTGCATTCGAGCGTGACGGCCCCACCTGGAGGTACAATGCGTCCATCCGCCGTAGGGGCGGACTATGATGTACGTCGGCCTCCGCGTTGAATGCCATCCACCATTGCAGCGGATCAGTCTTGTGATAGTCGTCGAACTTCTCGGTCTTGAAGTTCGGCATCTTCCATTCCTTGGCGGCAGCGGCCGGTCGCTGGTCAACGCGGTCGCTGAGCGTCTGCAGCTGATTGCTGATTGTCGACGTTCCAGCAAACTTGCTGATGTCGCCGAGGGATGCGACCAAGTGGTTGATCCGCTCATCGAGCTGTTTGGCTTGAGCGGCCAAAGCTGGGCTGCTGTCTGAAATTCCACCGCCCGTTGACTCGACTGCGGACAGTCGTGCTATCCCGGCATCAACGGAGTCCTGCTGTCGGTCGTTGATGGCCTGCTGTTGGCTGTCGGCGGCCTGCAGCATGCCGGTGTTGGCTGAAGGGCAGTGATGTTCTGATCCATTGCCTTGAAGTTGCCTTCGTGGCGGATGAGGATCTGCCGCATAGCAAACAGTTCCCGTTGTTGCCAATTGCACGTGTACAACAAGTTCTCAATCAAGACTGCTGTAGTTTCCCTGTTTCTCTCATCCTCGGTTTGTTCTTCTTCCTCCTCAGTTTCTCGGAAGTGCTGCTGTCGAAGTTCATGGCAGCCTGGAACCGAGCCTGAGTCTGACTTGCGTCGAGCTGCTGCTGCTGCTGCCTTGTGCTGCCTGTTCCGCTTCTTGTTGGAATCGGATGGCTCCCCGTCGGGCTGCACTCTCCTTTTCCCATGTGCGGAGTTCGGTGGCATTGGTCTCCGTATACTGTTGGAGACGCTCGAGAAACGCGAGTGCGTCTTCATCTCCCCTGTTATGACCTGTCATCACACGGACTGAAACAGACAGCCGATTTCTGAGTCTTGCCGTGGAATGCATGCCATACTAAGTTCCCCCGCCTGCTAAGTCTGCTTGWGTGTGTGTGTGCTGGACTGCATGTCTGTCTGAATGCTGGCTGACCTGTGTGAGTGTGCTGCGTGCCTGTCTAAGTGACTTGAGTGTGTGTGTGGCCCCGTCGGGGTCGTGGATGTGGGGGCAGGACCGGTAGGGCCGGTACTTGCCGGTGGCGTGACATTTGAGGGTTGCAGCCAGGAAACACTCAGGTGGCGACGATAGCGGCCCTGCGGCCCTCGGTGGGTAGCGGAAAAACACTCGAGTAGGCCGGTAAGTCCAAAATGGGGTACTTGAGGGCCGGAAGGCCGAAACTTGAAGCACTTGAAAGTCGGGCAGAAAAAGACAAAGTTGGCATTTTTAGCAGTCCGGTAGGCTGGGGGGTACTAGTAGGAGTCCAGGGCCTGTC